TGTTCTGCACGTACCAGTGCTGCTCCTAATTATCCCATAGTAGGTAGGAACTGGAATCAACTCAAAAGTAGACATATTAGAGAAAGAAAGATGTTTGGTTACAAAATCTATAAGAGACTTCAATTTTTTCATGCTTTAATTGTAGAAAAAGCTCAGAGGAACATTACAGTGCTTATCATAGTGGCGCAGATCAGAGAGAGGAATGAGGTAATGAAGTAATTTAATCATAAATTTAAGAATTTTAAACTTGAGGTGTTGGAAGACTACAAACCAAAGCAATTCAGCAAAGTAGGGTGATGGGTTAGTCGGATTAGGCATGCAACAGGACATAGTGTTGCTGATTTTGTATAACTTTATAGAACAGATTATAAAAGGCCATGGTAAATTGGAATTGTCAAGTTTATGCAATCCAACAAACTGCTTAAGTACTTAGAAATGTTTTTTATTCATATTTTTCTCTTAGGCACTGAAAAGTCTAATATAGAAAAGAAATTGTTTTGATTATATTGTTTCATAACTTGATTAAACTTATTTGATGAACCTCTTTAATTCCTCCAGAGAATGTGGAAAAGCACTTTTTTTTTTCCATTCATTAATTCACTGGATGTGCTAGGCCTGTATTTATTGCTCAGTGGGCATTTAAGTGTCAACAACTACATTGCTGTGAGTCTGGAGTCACATGTAGGTCAGACCAGATTCCTTTTTTAAAGGATGTTAGTGAACCAGATGTGGTTTCCCTATAAGTCGGTAATGGTTTCATGGCCAACATTATGTGCCACAGACGGATTCGAACCCGGGTACCCAGACATTACCTGGGTCTCGGAATTAACAGCCTAGGAAAAGGGATATTGCTTTCTCTAATCTATTTAGAGAGCACCACTTCAGACTAACATAACAGAAGTCCAGTAAGGACTTAGGTATAAGCTATGACAGGCAAATCTTCTTCCCTTCTCTGCTACTCTTTACTCTAAGAGTTTAAACTTGATTAATTTGGCAGTAGCTCATTTACAGGAGCCAGAATTTATTTGTGCTGATTTCTTTGACCTGTGACTTTCATGACTGGTCAATAACATCAGATGCTAAAAATGGATTCACTAATGTCTTTTAAGGAATGAAACTGCCATCCTTCCTTGGTCTGGACTACATGTGACTCCAGACCCACAACAATGTAGTTGACTCTTAACTACCCTCTGGAATCGGCAATAAATGCTGGCCTAGCCAGTGATGCCCTCATCCTGTGAACGAATAAAACTGAAATGCCTGCATGGCGGTAAATTACATTTTACTTTGAGCATTTTTTTAATGAAAATAACTACATAATAAAGGATATTCTATTTCTGGTGGTCAATATGATCTCCTGAATGAGTTTCGATGGCCTTCAGGAGTGGAAAGAGAATTCAGAAAAGAATTTCATAGAATATGTTATTTCTCAAATTGGCCCAAGTTTTTTTTTAAACCTGTGCTTTTCATTTACCAGGTAATTACAAGGCTACTGATGAATGAGGAGCATGATGTCCAATTGGAACATGACAATGAGACAGATGCCCCAGATGAACTAAGAGCAGCTAGTGTACACTGGACAGTTTGAGAGTTCGGTTAGTATGAAAATTTGAAGTGGGGAGAGAGACGTGCTTTTACTTTCCCTAACTTATTTAGACAGCACCACTTTAGCTGCTGGGAGCCAAAATAAAAAAAAAGTGACATCAAAGGAGTCTATTAAGCTGATCAGCTAGCGTGAGTTTAGAATAAGTATCTGTGTAAATAGCCTGCCTTAGGACATGAGAATTAGGGAAGGTCTAAAACTTTAATGTCAATACCAAAGAGGGTTTCCTGTTTAATTGAGGAGTGCATAATTTTCAGTTATAAGTGATATTAGCCTTTAATAAACACAGTAAGACTGTAAGAAAAGCAATTACTATCATGCGAGTGAGTAAATTAATTACATTTAACAATTAGCACACAGACTGTAATGGGACAGATTTTGTGTTGCAGCTGTGGTATGTGGGAGATTCTAGACCTGGGAGTGGTCCAGGACAAACACAACTAAAGCAAATGCCTAAAATTTCAGGAACTTGATTGAATTGGAGGCTGAGTTGTAAACACATCAGAGAGGGGGAGAAACTGAGAGACACTTTGTTCCAGAAGGCAGTCATATCCCTTAGACTACTTAAGTCCAATTCCACCTGTAGCAATGGACAACAGTGTGTGACCACAGCAAGGCAAGCAAGGACAGACAATTCTGTATTGCAGGAGCTTCAGCCCTTGCAATTACCTAAAAGTTTGAGGTGTTGGCCTGTGTAGATGAAAACAAATTATGTAGAGATGAGGAGCAGACTAAGCAGGACATATGGTTTCAGGACACTTTTCAAGTGGCAGTGGTGGTTGTGTAGGGGGTTGGAAGTAAAAAGTAAACAATTAATGTACTAGTCGGGGATTGTATAATGAGGGACTTGAACAATCTTCGGTGCAGATGAGACCGTGAGTCCAGAAGATTATGATGTCAACCCATTGTAAGTGTTCAAGTCACCCGCTCTGGGCTGGACAGGAACTTGGAGTCGGGATTTTGGAATGGCGGATGGTGCATCCAGTTATTATGATCTATGTAGATAGTAATGACATAGGTAGGACCAAGAAGGACGTTATTTTTAGTATGAGGAACTCGGTACCAAACCGAAGAGCAGAACATCATGGGTAATTATCATCAGATTATTACCTGAGCAACATGCCAATTGGCAGAAGGCACATAAGATTAGTGAAATGAATATATGATTCAAAGCCTGGTCTGGGAGAATTGGGTTCTTGTTTGTAAGGTATTGGCGCCAGTACGGGGAAAAGTGAGGACTGTACTGTTGGGCCAGTTTGCATCTGGACTATGCTGGCACCAGTGTTCCAGCAAATCACATAACTTGATAAGTAGGGAGAATTTAATCTAAAGAATGGTGATGAGAGATTAAGCTTGTTTGATAGAGTCATAGAGATATACAGTAAGGAAACAGACCCTTCTGTCCAACTCGTCCATGCCGACCAGATATCCTAAATAAATCTAGCCCCGTTTGCCAGCATTTGGCCTGTATCTCTTCAAACCCCTCCTATTCATATAACCAACCAGATGCCTTTTAAATGCTGTAACCATACCAGCCTCCACCACTTCCTATGGCAGCTCATTCCATACACACACCACGCTCTGCATGGAAACACTGCCCCTTAGGTCCCTTTAAATCTTTCCCCTCTCACCTTAAATCTATGCCCTCTAGTTTTGGGCTCCATAATCCCAGGGAAAAGTCCTTATCTATTCCCCCTATCCATGCCCCTCATGACTTTATAAACTGCTATAAGGTCACCCCTCAGCTTCTGATGCTATAGGGAAAATAGCCTCAGTCTATTCAGCCTTTTCCTATAGCTCAAACCCTCCAACCCTGGCAACATCCTTGTAAATCTTTTCTGAACCCTTTTAAGTTTCACAACACCTTTCCTATAAGCAGGGAGACCAGAATTGCATGCAATTTTCCAATAGTGGCCTAGCCAACGTCCTAAACAGCCACAGCATGACCTCCTGATTCCTATACTCAATGCACTGACCAATAAAGGCAAACATACCAAATGGCTTCTTCACTATCCTATCTACCTGTGCCTCCACTTTCAAGGAACTATGAACCTACACTCCAACGTCTCTTTGCTCAGCAACACTTCCCAGGACCTTACCATTAAGTGTACAGGTCCTGCCCTGATTTGCCTTTCCAAAATGCAGCAATGTTGCAAATCAAGGGCACAAGTCAAGGCAGCAGAACAAACTAACAAAATGGGAAGTAAGGGTCAGAGACGAGCAGGAATGTGCAAAGAATAAACCTAAGAATACAGTAACAGTCAAAACTATATGTGACAAAGATAATAAAAAGATAAAACCAAAGGCTCTGAATCAGAATGCACATAGCATTTGCAACAGAGTAAAGGAATTGATGCACACATTGCAATAAATAAATATGATCTAACAGTCACTACAGAGATGCATGATGATAAGGATTGGGTCCCAAATATTTAGGGATATAGGACCTTCTGGATTTCTCCAGCGCTTCCTGTTTTTATTTCAGATTTCCAGCATCTGCAGTATTTTCTTTTGTTTAAAGGAAGTTGGGGTTCTGTATATTCCACCATGTTCTCTTTCGCAATTATGAGCTGTATGAACAGAAGATAGGACCTGATAGTGTTTTAAATGTTTTAGCATCAGTAAATGGGGGTGATTGAAATCAGTTGTCTATGATGTCCATTCAGGTGTGCTTGGATTTAATGGAGTGCAGAGGAGGCTAGGAAAATATTCTACTGGGGACCAGGAATCAAAGGTGGAGTTTAATATATAGGAGCAAATGAATAGCTACATAAACATTAGGGTGATCAGAGGTCAAAGCTAGGCAGTTGGCATTCTGAAAGTACAGTTATAATTTGTTCTTTCATGGGTAAATAGAAGCAGGTAGAACTGGTGCATGGAAAGACAATGTGAGAGAAATGAAACAAGAAAATTATCAGAAATGGCTTTTTTCAAGTAATGCAATGGGAGTAATGAGACCACTTGAGATGGCAATGGAAAAAGGATAGCGGTGGATATGAGTTTGGGATTTTACATGAAAGGAGAGATTAAGAGAGGATAAGAGGCCAGTGAACCAAGAGGAGGGAAAGCATGACGAAATGAGATGGAGGGTGAAATTGTGAAATGAGAAACTATTCATTACAGAGATGAAGGAAAGAAACAAGCAAAGATATCTTAAGCATTGCTGAAAATGACAGGTATTGTTAAATTTGCCTTCCTGCACTCATCAAGACAGAACAAGCATGCCAAATATGAATCAGAGTAAAACATATACTGCATCACAAAAGAGTGCAGATTGATTGGTAACTGAACATGATTGGACCAATTTAACCTTATAATTAGAACTGTATCTTAAACATGTATGTATTAATGTAAAATCAATTATTATACTTTCTGTGCTTTGCTCAAAGCTACTTACTCTCCATCTACTGCTGGTCTTCTGCACACACAATGAAACTTGCCACCGAAGTCAATATAAAGGTCATCATCCACAATATGGAAAATTTTACCAATGACTACTTTGTCTTTGGTAGGGCCCATCTGGATTAGAGGAGAGCGCCTCAATAATGATGCAAATGAGTCACTTTTCTGGGCAGTCACCTAAAAGAAAAACATCAGGACATTACATAAAACAATTATATTGGAGGTATTAATTATTATTAATATAGTTTCAATTCAATCTACTCTTTCAGTTCATATTTAACAATATTTTGTCCATGTAACCAATTTCAATAAAAGTTAGCCCTGACGCTGGTAGGAGTAACAATTACAAAACGGTCACCTAATGTTTTCACTACATCTCTGAATCTGCCAGCAATATCTGGAATCTGCGAGCACCCAGTCAAATGCAGAAATCCAGTAGTTCCTGCCAGTGACTGTACATTTCTCCAAAGGATATGATGAAGTCCCCCAGACTGTAGTCAAATGGAAATTACCTAACTGATGAGAACTTGCCCTTTTATGTTATAAACTTGCTGTAAAAGTCCTTGAGCAGTTACACGTGTTGAATGGGGTGCAACAATGAAATAAGAACTTAAGAACTTTGAGCAAGAGTAGACAACTCAGCCCACTGAGTCTGCACCAATCATGGCTGATCTCATCTCGGCCTCAAATTCACTTTTCTACCATACTTAAGCTCATAATTACTACTAAACAGCTTCATCTGCCCTCAAAACAAACTGCATATTTGTGGAAATTAATATGTTTTCATTATAGAAGAAAATAATTTTGAATATTTTTAAAGTTTGATTTCAGCTTCTACATTGATCTGAAGTGTAATTCTCAATAATTTATTTTGACGAAGGGAAGAGATTCAATAGATTTTTATCTCCTGCTTTGTTAAAAATGGTTCTGTTTCGTAGTCAGGCTGTTTATCTTGCTTGATTACATCATTGTTGCAGGATTCCTGGAGATCCCCTTGGCTTGGTGTTGTATTCAAACTGACGTCAGATAAGGAGAAATCCGTGCAAAAGAGACAAATTAGGTCTCTGTGAAACGTGTTCTTTGAGATCAGTGGTGAACATCATTGATTCATTGTCAACCGCAAATTCCAGGCCAAAGTTGTAACTAAAGATCTAAATAAAGCTTGTAATTTCTACTGTCACTAATTAAGTACCAAGGCCTATTATTTTCAAATCTTTTGAGTCAATATTCTACTCCATCTACAGAAAAAAGACACAGAAATAACATGGCAGAATGGCTTCCTTCAGTGCTGCAATCATTCTACGACTTGTTAATAGACTCCCAAGGCTCTTTCCATCCTAACTTCCCAATACATGCTAGCCAGACAACTTATTGGAATACAGAATGAGAAACATGTGCTATTAGTCTGCAATTGCAGAAAATCAAGTTTTGATAACAGACTGGCTATACTTTAACAGCCATGGAGAGTCTTTTTGAAAATTCTCTCATGGTTTCCTTTGGAATCAAGATGACTAATGCATTAGCTAGGGAAATGAAGTCTTCTGCATATCTTCACATCACAATTATTCCAATAAAATGTATCATACTTCTTTGTGTTGTTTGTTTTAAAACAAAACTTTGCCATTAGCCAAAGTCATGTGTAATTGTTATAGAGGAGGAAGAGGAGGCGGATGCAGCCATTTGGCCCATCTTGATCGCACCAGCTCACCAAATGAGCAATATGCCTTAGTACTATTCTTCTGCCTTTTCTCCTTAACACTGCACATTATTTGAATTGAAACAATCATCTAATGTCCTCTTGAATGCCTCAATTGAAAATGCCTCCACCATACTTTCAATGCAGTGTATTCCAACCTACCTTGTGAAAAAGCTTTCCCCTTGCTTCACATTCGCTTCTTTTCAAGTTACCTTACATCTGTGCCATTTCGTTTTCAATATTTTTACAAATGGGAACAGTTTCTCCCTACTTAAATGTTTAGGCCATTGTGATTTTGAAATCTTCTGTTAGCTTTTTCCTCTCCAAGGAAAATGTTCTCAACCTCTCCAATTCTTCATACGTGCCATAACAACTACCTTGAAATCTCTTCAATCTCTGTCCAACATACTCATATCCTTCCTGAAACGAGGCACCCAAAAATGTACACAATCCTGCAGCTGAGGTCTAAATAATGTCTTGTACAAGTTCAGCATAACTTCCTTCTCCCTTGTCCCATGTTCCCATTAATGAAGGCTAGAAAATTGTATGCTTTTATTAACTGCTCTCTCCACCTTTCCTGCCACTTATAATGACTTATGCACATAAACATACAGGTCTCTGCACCTCCTGTAAAACATTTTGTGTAGTGCCCTTTATCTTATGCTGTCTTTCCCTGTTCTTTCTGTCAAAATATATCACTTCACACCTCTCCACACTGAACACTGTCTGCCATCTATCTGTCCACTTCACTAATGAGTCTACATTCTTTTGAAGGTCTACATACATCCTCCTCACAGTTTACATGGTTCCAAGTTTTGTACCATCCGCAACCTTGAAATTGTTTCTTGTATACCAAGATTTAGGTCATTAATATGGATCAGGAAAAGCATGGGTCCAATCCCAACCTTCAGCAAACTCCACCACAAACCTTCATCCAATCCAAAACATATGCATTAACCACTACTCTGTTTCCTATCACTCAGGCAGATTTTGTATCCATGTGGTTACTGTCCCTCTTATTCCAAGAGCTCTCAGGTTTTCTTACAAGATTATTCTGCAACACCATATCAAATGCCTTTTGGAAATCCATGTACACCACATCAATCCTCTCTGGTACTTCTTCAAAAAGAATTCCAGCATGTCAGTTAAATACGATATTCCCTCAAGAAATCCATGCTGGCATTCCTTAACCCACTTTTTTCTGCCACTATTAATTCTATTCCGAATTATTGTTTTTTTTCAAAAAGAGGTTGCTGCATTACCAAAGATAAACTGGGCTGCAATTGCTGGCCTTACCATAACAAATTTCTTTGAACAAGGGAATAACATTTGAAATTCTACAGTCCTCTGGCGCCACCTGAGTCTTCCTTAGACTGAAAAAATATGGCCAGTGCTTCTGTAAATAAGGTTTTGGTGAGTTACAGGCACAATCTGCCATTTAGAATTACGGTGTTGTGGCTGTAACATAGACCTGGCTCAAGTAAGAGCAGGATTAGTGTTAAATATTTCTAGATACTTAATGTTCGGACAATTAGGAAAGGAAGAAATAGGGTTGCAGACAATTAGTTAAAGAAAGGGAGAATAACCCAGAGGGTTTAAGGTCAGAATTGATTAGCTGAAGTGAAAGAATGAAAAGATACAATTACATTGCTTGGCATAGTCTATAGGCACCAGATAGATTTCTAACATTTTTCAAACTGTCTTGTTTAAATCACAATGCCCACATTTTAAAGATTGCATGTTCAATTTATAGTGTAACATGATGACAAGTTTAAACAACTTTAATATGTTCTAGAGGTGTCTTTTATTCCGTATTGGGAAACATACGTCTTCTAATACAACAACTTCAAAAGGGTAATCTGAATCAGACAAGCTGGGTTAAAAATTCAGCAGCATTAGGTGCTAGTCTTTCCACAGCTCTGTGCCACTGGAACATATCTGAATTAATAGTGTTGTATAATTGAGAGGATTGTTTTTATACCATCTTCTTACATTTAATGCAACTGGAGCTACTGGGAAACTCCATGAACATCAAATTGTAAGCATTAATTTGCATTAATGTTATACAGAACTCTGGATGTTTCAGATATTTTACGTTTCAAAAGCTTCTGCAAACTAAGTGACAAACTGTAATTTACCTATTCACAATTGCTTTATTTTTGATTTTTTTATATTGAGTAGACTTGCAGTCTGAAACACAATCTACCACAGTATTATTTGCTTGCCAGCCACTAAAGTCGAGAACTGGAAGACAAAAAGGTTTTTGTTAAAGCGGGTTGCCAGTTCTGAAGAAATCATGCTGGACTCGAAACAGTAACTCTCTCTCTCCATAGATGTTGTCAGACTTGCTGAGTTTCTCCAGCATTGCGTTTGTTTCACAATATGTTTCAATCCATGTGTCAAACTGCTGTATTTTGCTGCACAAAATAACTGCCTCTGGCAATGTAAATTAGAGACATTTTCACATTTAATATCATAATATTTTCCGGTTTACAAACAGGTTACATTTGTGAAATATTTTGTCAAGTTTGACATCACTGCTTCTTGTATTTTTTTATTCCCATGCTGGCTGCTTGAATCATTCATTACAGCTGAGAAGATGTAAGGTTTCAATATTCAGCAAAAATGGAGGGGATAAAATTCTTTTCCTAACTATTTAGGCATCAGGTGTTCAAGTAACAAATTATTGTGCAAATTTCTCAAATACAAAACAGGTAATATTAAATAAAATTTGAATTCCTACCCACAGAACATTTCTACTCACCGAGACATTAGAAAGAACTCTTCCACTCTGTTTTGCATCATTATGAATTATTGTAAAATATATAATTCATAAAACCATGAGATTTTTCACATTCACATGAAAGACGAACCCTCAAAGTGCAGCAGACCTCAATACCACACTGAGGCATCAGCCTAGTTTAGTGGCTAAAAACATTGGAGTAGAACAAATCCACAACTTTTCAAGACAATAACAGTGCTATTACTGAGCTATGGCAAACACCACATTTACAGATAACATATTATAGCAGTCAGTCCACACTACAGTTTTACAAAACGTTACAGATAACTAATTAAAATTAACACAAGTTATGTCACATGCATGACTCCGGTAGTCATCTAGACTCGAAACGTTAGCTTGCTTTCTCTCCATGTATGCTACCTGACCCGCTGTGATTTATACATTTAAAAATTTGAACATTGTACAGAACAAACTATATTAGTTTTCATGTGGAATAATAATTGAAGCATGGAGCAACAGAGCAGAATGCAATAGTTTTTTTAAAAATTTCATCAACCAGGCAGTAATCTGGTTTAGTGCATCATCCAGCCTTTATAAAACACACATAGTTGGTATTCCACCGATTTTAATGGAATGAGAATCAGGAAAGTTCTAGAAGAGCATATGATCTACTATGGCAGATATCCATGCATTGAAGACGACAAGAATTTAGTCCAATGTCTCTACAGTAAGTAGCAC